GTGTGTGTTTGTGTGAGTGGGTAACTGCAGCCCTCATGTCTACTGAAATGGAATTACTTCATAGCATACTGGGAAGTAAAAAAGCAGAATATAAAACAATTTATAGCAGAATTCCAAAATTATGTAAATGTGTATTTTAATTGCCTAGTAGGATGCCAGCAAAATATGAAGACTACTTACCTGTAGTTTATGGGATTTATGAGGAGTTTTATTAAGTAGCAGTCACTTCTGATTTTTTCTAAACTGACTTGTTGAGTAAAAACAAGTAGTTTTTTAAAATTATGTGAACTATGAATTTTAAAATAAGATACTATGCAGCATTCATGAGATAGAATTTAGTATATTAGTAAGCTGTTTGTGTACTCCTTGATCTTGGCAAACTAGAACATGCTGTTCCATTACCAGATCCAGGGGGGAAATGCACTATCTCATCTGAACGGTGCAAACATATTTAGTCTAACAAGAAACTGGCTCGTTTGAGACTTTATAGCAAACAAGGACAGAAAGTAGTTTGCATAATTTTCTCATGCTCCTTTTATAGTGTTTATCTTTTATAAGGCTATTTGGAACAGTTGCTCGCCACCTGTCAATAATGTGGCCTTTTATAGACTTGGCTTTATATTGTTCTTGTGCCCTTGACATATAAAACAGAGCCTTAGAAGAAGTCAGTGTTGAATGTGGTGAGCAAAATACTAATTCTAAATTTAAAAGGCCGTCTATTGTAGACTAAAATAAAGACAGTTTTGAATGACATGAAAAGAATAGGCATGTTATAAAACCCTCTTCCACAGGAATTAAAAAAAAACATTCCTATCAACATTTTTGACAAGTTCATTAAGAATTATGTTTAAAGCACTAGTCTATGGAAAACTGAGCCAAGCAGCACTAATTTAAAGTTGTTATAACAATTGTGCATGATCTTGCATCAATTCCAACTGAAAATATTTGTGTTGTGAACCTATTGATTACATAAATATTTTGGGTATACAAATAATTGCTTTAACTTTTGTTTTAGTAGAATAAGACTTCTAGAATTTCTTTCTTGATTTATATAAAATTGTCAGGCTAAATGTTCTACATATATTTTTTGAACTGTATCCTTGATGTGTGTTACATGATACTGAATGAACACAATCCTATGCAGAAATATATTTCCATTTATAAAGGGATATTATCCAAGGCTTTAACTTAAAAGCTGCCTATCCTTTGTTCTGTGCAGTTAGGTTCCAAGTCCTCTGTATGTTATTGTGAACAAGAACAATAAATAAAACAAGTTTTAAACCAATGTTAATTTTTTCTGTTCTTGTTAAACAGCGAACATCCCCACACACACTTACACATGTGTGTACAAACACACACAGCCTTTCCAACACCAGTGTACCATTATGCAAAGATATAGGAGTTCAATATCACAGTTTCATATTGTGCTTAGGAGAGGACTTAGTGTTTTCCTTGCCAGAGTTTGCGTATTGTGCTTTCAAGTTGCCTTTAGAAACATTTGTTCTCCATGACACATGGTAGCTAATTGGTCTAACAATTCTTAGCTGTCAAGAGCAATTTTAGATGTGGTCCCTTTTCTGTTCAATGTGTGATTATTTTAAAACTGCTGGAGGAAAGAAGTAGACAGTCCTTCATCGTGGTGGAGATCTGATTTTTCAAAAGGTCTGTTAATTGGACATGTGTAGTATCCAAGGTGCAATGAAAAGATAAGACAGCAGTTAAAGCCTGCAGAGTGAATGAGTTTTCTTCAGATTCACTTGTGATTATTTTACCACCTCCACTTTCACTGACACCCTCATACATTTTATCTTCCTTCAGCCTAGAGGGTATTTTTTATAGATCTCCATGGAATTTTCTCAAGATTGCCTGTCTTCTGGTTCTCAATGTAAATATACTTGGAATAAGATAAACCCAACAGGGTTATCTATAAATAGATTATTAATAGAAATCTGTGGTGGATATTTTGGAATGAAAATTTGATTGTATTTATATTTAGAATGTATGCTTTTCCTAATTAAGTAAGCTTTAGCAATGCTTACTCTTCATCAATATATGTGAAATAGTGTAGAAGTTTTCTTGAACTCAATTTCTTTATTTGCACTGCTGTTGACATCAAACATGTAGTTCTTTGGATATTAAATCTACAGGCTAAGATGTCTCTTTTCTAAACAAAATGATTGAGAAAGTTCCTATGTAAAAGACATGCAAAGTTCTGTCTTTAAGTGACAGGGTCAGTCTAATGTGATAAACAGATATTTGGCAAGTAATTATGCAGTAAGCTAATTGAGATTGTGATGAGCATGATGTGGGGAACATGCAGGTTGTTCTGAGCATGTGTAAGAAGGGAATTCTCCCTTATCCGATGTCAGTAAATGAGTCATTTTCAAAGTAGCCATCATTTACTTTTATTTTTGTAAAAGCTTAGAAGTCAGCCTGGAGTTTTTGCTAAAATTTGATTTATAAAAGTTAAATATCCTTACTAGTTCTTATCTTGAGTAATTTCAAATTTAATAGTTAACTAGTCTTGTATAATTCTGTTTTATAGTTTTTGGGATTTTGTTTTTGGTCTGTGTTTGCCTTACTTAGCAATTACATGCAGACTTGAAATCAATTCACATTTTGTTTGCTCAGGTTTCTATAATAAAATACTAATTGTCATCAGTTAGTTTAAACACATCTATTAATAATAGTGTAACCTCCCTACAAAGTACAATTAAGTATTTTTAATTGCCAAATTCACAATTTGCTCTATTTTTTTAATTTTTATTTTGAGGATAAAAGACTAACTTCTTAATAGTCCTAATCTGAATAATCAGTCTAATTTCTTAATTAATATTAAAGATTAGAAAACAATGAAATATCAAGAAGTTCTCAGTTATATCTAGAATTTAGATTCTTAATTTATGCAAGACCTTTGTATTTTGAAATTTAGATATAATGGTGTATAGCTTACTCCTAACTTGAGCGCCCAAGATAAATATATCTTCATATGCTATATTCAGGGTAGGAAATAAGGATTACTGATTTGTTCGAGCACAGTGAGGAAAAGGAATAAATACCAAAGACATGTGAATAAACTCTAAAATTTTATACATATTATTTTGTTCCCATATTGAAAAGGGTCCTAGGTTCCATAATTCTTAAAGTGAATATTTACAAAATCTCTAAGAGAGTATCAACTAATTTATGAGTAGATGTCTTCCTTTAAAAATTAAAAATCATATCAAAATATCATCAGGTATTGTATGTGGACAGATGTAACAAACTCACTGACTTTCTTAGCTTGTAGAGTTTTGACATCAGCACTATGGGAGAACTGTGTTTCTAAGTGTACTTTAAGTTCTTTATAACTCTTCACATGTGAACTTTATACAGTAATGATATGGATATGCCAAATATACAATTCTTATTTTCATGCAACAATGATTAGTTGGCACAATGTTTTTAGTAAGTCCCTTTCCTATTTACAACTCCATTATTCCATTTGTCATGAAGTTAACATTATCAAATTGTAAACACCTTCCTAGCTAAACAAAATTAACTGTTTAAGGTAAATAAGATAAACACATTCTTCCTACTTCATTCTTTGTAGATTACTCACCTTGTATAGGCATATCTAAGTCTCAAGCTCTAAAATCTAGGATAAATTACACAACTAAAAGTCAGAACTGGAATCTGAAATGCAGGATGGTTTTGTTCTTCACTCAAGATGTGAACCTGGCACATCACTTCCGCTTCTTGTTACCAGTTCTTCTCATCCATGGATGAATCTGTTGGCCTCGTTGAGTGGTTTTCACTTTACAGCAACAGAAACATCTTCTCAAGGTCTTTCATAATCTCAACATATAAAAAATAAATAATAATAATAATAATAATGGAGCTTTTCCTACAGAAGCAACAACAAAGAAGGAAGGAGGGCCGTGGGGTGGGGTGGGGAGACCCTGAAGGCCAGCCCTGAGTGCTGGCCCTCACCTGCCCACACAGCATGTTCAGGAAGGCTCTAGGCTACATCAGACAGTTTCTCCAATTCCATGGACCACATTGTGAGAATCATGCAACTACGGGGTCATTCCCTTTCTTCAAACTCCCAAAATAATGTAATTCTCAATTTTGTGAATTAAGATGTCAGTTAAAGCACTGAAATCCTATTATCCACATTAAAAAAGAAATAATGCATGCAGATGTAAGAGGGTTTCAATCTATGTCAAGAAGGATTCAAAGGTAAAAGTTCCACATTTCAGACTAAAGCCTCTGATTTAAGTATCCCATGAAACAGCTCTGTAATACCAAATAGTACATACCTCAGAAATGAATAGATTGATAAAACTCTAAATAGTCCTTCAATGTTCAGAAAGAAGCAATAGTCCTTTAGTTAAATATAAATTCTCTTGTTTATTTTTATACTTCACTGGAGAGATGAGAAAAATAATAACTTTAAAGGCAGAATGTGCTTAAATGAAGATTTTTCACTTTGGTTACCAGCGAGTAAGCACTTCTGTTGGCACACACACACAATTATTAGACTCTTATAGTCACAATGCGCAGCAATAGACGATGAGGCAGAACAGAGCATATTCTATAAGACAATTCCTTGCTTGGGAAAGAAAAGCCTGCAGGAGACGTTCATATGGGTGCATTGTCTTTCCCACTTACCAAAATTGATGACGGTTCTGAGGTTTTCACTGTGATTAATTTCTGACATCCTTCATGAGTGTGGGTTCTTTAACAACCTAAAATTAAGGAAATGAATAAAAGCAATCTTTTAATAATCCCAAAAGGACCCAGAGTGAAATCGTCCCAGCAGTTACCTTATATAGACTCTGACACAGTTCCCCTCCCGCAATACCGAGTGCAGATCATTACTTTCTAACGATGCAGAGAGACCTACTTTATAACACTTCAGGGAAGTGAATGTACTAGGTCTTGATATGTCTTTCTGGAACATAGAGTAACCTCTAGTTTTCTTCTAGTAGAACTTTTAACTCTTGTGTCGTTTTTAGGTCCCTGGGGCCGATGCATGGGAGACGAATGTGGTCCAGGAGGCATTCAGACCCGGGCTGTGTGGTGTGCTCATGTGGAGGGATGGACAACGTTACACACCAACTGTAAGCAGGCCGAGAGACCCAGTAACCAGCAAAACTGCTTCAAAGTTTGTGACTGGCACAAAGAGTTGTACGACTGGAGGCTGGGACCCTGGAATCAGTGCCAGCCTGTGATTTCAAAAAGCCTGGAGAAACCCCTGGAGTGCATTAAGGGGGAGGAAGGCATTCAGGTGAGAGAGATAACATGCATCCAGAAGGAGAAAGACATTCCTGCGGAGGATATAATTTGTGAGTACTTTGAGCCCAAGCCGCTCCTGGAGCAGGCCTGCCTCATCCCCTGCCAGCAAGATTGCATCGTTTCTGAGTTTTCTGCCTGGTCGGGATGCTCCAAGACGTGCGGCAGTGGGCTCCAGCACCGGACGCGGCACGTGGTGGCTCCGCCCCAGTTTGGGGGCTCAGGCTGTCCAAACCTGACGGAGTTTCAGGTGTGCCAGTCCAGTCCGTGTGAAGCTGAAGAGAGCATGTACAGCTTGCATGTGGGACCTTGGAGCACGTGCTCAGTGCCCCACTCGAGACAAGTGAGACAAGCGAGGAGACGTGGGAAGAACAAAGAACGGGAAAAGGACCGAGGGAAAGGAGTGAAGGACCCAGAGGCTCGGGAGCTTATTAAGAAAAAGAGAAATAGAAACCGACAGAATCGGCAAGAAAACAAATACTGGGACATCCAGATTGGATATCAGACCAGAGAGGTTACCTGTGTGAACAAGACGGGCCAAGCTGCTGATCTGAGGTAACATTTCATTACTATTAACTACATGTGTCTCTCTGTCAAGACCATGGGGTAGGGGAGTCCTTCAGACGTGCTCTACTAAATCCTGGAATGCACATGCCCACAACCTAGGATGAGCCACCCCTGAGAGTAACATTTTCCATTTAAGGCCTTAAAGCTTTGTGGGTGTCCTGGCATGATTTTCACTTTGCACATGTCTAGGCAGCGTGCTACTTGCGTTTAATTTTTCTGTCAAAATGAGAGATTTTCCCAAAAGCTGATACTGCTTCTTTAGGTCAATAGTGATGTTTACACCTCTAATGAAACAAACAAAAAAATACTTATTTAAAGGCTGGAGTTTTAGGATTTGGAATTCAGATACTAACTTTACTGGGAATAAGACACTTGTAATCTTTCCAAGTTTATAGCATTTTCAGAATTACCCTATAAACAAAATCTAAAGAACAACTCAGGGAGCTATACCTAAGAATGTAAAATGGAATAATTTTCCCCAGGGAAGGAAAGGAGAATCAATATAAATTAAGTAAATGGTATTTAATCATGAGTTTCGTAGTTTACAAAACATGTAATTAATTGGCTGCATTTTCTAGACAGAAATTATTTGTCAAGATATCTCTGGGCAAATAATGACAATATCAAGAAAGACTTTCTCATGTGTGATTTATTTGTTATGAAAATATTTATTGAATACTATTCATTAAATATTATCTAAAGGATATGATGTTCTCTGGATATTCTGAATTTTCTTCTTGGATAAGCCAGACCATCTGGGAGTGGCTTATATGGATCATTGGCATAATTGCCTTTTCTGAAATATTTATGCAGTTATGATCTGGACTGAACTGAGAAATTATCATAACATCACTCAGAATTTTATATCATACATATTGTAGAAATGACATTGAAAATGCCATCTACTCCATCAGACGTCTGTTCTTTAATTAAAAGCACATAAGATGAATTTCGCTGAAGTCTCAACCCATGTGCTTCTGGGGAGCAGCTGCCTTCTTTTCCTTATGGTCCTGGAAATCTCGTAACAGATTATTTTTCTGTTTACTGTGGCTGCTGGGAACGTAAATAGGACTGGGTGATGTGTGCTGTTTACTAATAGACCTGCTTGGCTTCATCTTTCTCACCCTCATTATTTTTCTTCACTCATTTTTGTCCAGTGATTTTGGTATCCTCAGATTTTGAAAGCTGGTTTGAAGCCTTTGTACTGCTGGATATAGTTTAAATTAATGAGTAAACAAAGAAACGATTGATTAGTCAAAGACAATAATTTCTCTCAGTACAACATTGTTCTAGTCACTGTTTATAGGATATTTGCTACTCCCTCTCCTCTTAGAAAGGTGTGTTTTCGCCCAGCCCGCCAGTGATTTGCTTTTTCTCTTTTCTGGTGTCATCAGCGCACCTCCTTTCCTGGCCTTGCTGATGGCTGGTGCTTCTCCTGCCCTCACTGTCCAGGTTCCTTACGACTCCTTGAATGTCTGTGTATAGGTGTGTATGGATGTGTTCACCTCTGCTTCTTTGTCATGTGTATTTTCAAGTCAATTCCTGCTTTTATTCTTTTATGACCATTCCTTATTCTGCTAATTTCTTAATCTCTTCCCTGCCAAGTAATTGGGTGAGCCTTCAAGACAACCTGAGCCGTCTCTGCTGTCACTGGGGTTAACATGCTCCCGGCATTTAAGTTTATGTTGACTTCTCAGCTAAAAGTGTAATTAGGATAGTGCCTACCACTGCAGAGAGCCTAACATACCAATACAGTTGTCTGAAATAAATAGCTTTTAAAATCTGTAGATGATTTGTTAGGTGCTTTATTCTATTAGAAATAACTATCTAACTATTCTAATAAAATTATAGTTGCATATATGTTGTAAATTTACCAGGGCATCGGTTAAACATAATGTTAAGTTGGTTAATAATATTTTCTTATTTAAGAATATATGTGAATAAACATATATGATTAGGATAGTTAAAGTCTTATTGAAGAAGAGACAAAAATCAGATGTGACCTAAATTTTGCTCAAACATCATACTGTGTCAGTAAAGCTAATAAAATGAAGACTAAATCCATAACACTATCAAAGCACAGGGCCACAAATATGGACTTGGTGATTAAATTTAAAGTATTTCATCAAACTGAGAAATAATTTGATCATGTAAGATGATGAAAAATGATTTAATATGGCTTCAAAATCTTATTAGCCCTGACTGGTATGGGTCAATTGGTTGCACATCTTTGTCTCATGGATGAAAAAGTTGCTGCTTCAATACCCAGGTAGGGCATGTGCTTGTGTTGTGGGTTCAGTTTCCGGTCTGGGTGTGCATGGAGGGTCTGGGTGTGCAATGTTTCTTTCTCACATTGATGTTCCACTCCTTCTTTCTTCCTTCCTTCCCCTCTCTGTAAAAATAAAATAATAAAATCTTTAAAACTCTTATTAAAATACCTAAATTAATTTAGATAAATCTAAGAATATTGGGGAAGCAATTTATAGGCAAATAAAAATAATTTTAGTAGAATTGCTGCTAAAGCATCCAAGTTAAAGAAGATAGATCTGCCCTGCTTCCTGCTTTCAAAGTCAATAAGAATAAAACTTACATATGGAAGTCCATACTTTTATGATTATTAGAAATGGTCACAGCCATAGTCCCAAACCACAGTTAAGAGAGAAGATTTGGAGAATGTGGCAAAATTAGGTGTACCTGAGAGGAAACTTAGAGCAGCATTATGCCTTTGCAGCTGTCATGAACTCAAATCTGTGGGTAGCCTAAACTTTCTGAGGGGCCACACCGATGAGACCTCTTTAGTAGGGTATGGCCTGCATTAGTGACTTGGCTGCTAAGTAGGGTTTGAGTTCTGTTCAAAAATGTTCTGGCGTAATAGGCAGAAACTGCACAAGGAAACTCACTATGCTATTCCTGCCAAGAAAAGGCTATCAGCCCTGGCTGGTGTGGTTCAGTGGATTGAGTGCCAGCCTGTAAGCCAAAGGGTAACCAGTTCAATTCTCAGTCAGGGGACATGCCTGGGTTGAGGGCCAGGTCCCCAGTAGGGGACGTGTGAGAGGCCACAACACATTGATGTTTAACTCCCTTTCTTTCTCCTTCCCTTCTCTCTAAAAATAAATAAGTAAAATCTTAAAAAAAGAAAAGGAAAAGACTATCAGTTTGATGGACTGAGGGATTAAAGTTTTGCTGTCCAGTGGAAGAGAATTCTAAATCACTGCACACAGTGTGAATGAATGCTAAATCACTCCCTGTGAACCAGTGAGTTTAAATAGAGTATTACCTCAGGCCAAGAGTTGCTATGAAAGTATGGGCAAACAGTTCTCCAAGAAACCAAAGATAGACAACATAATACATTTTTTTTCTAAACCAAAAAGAGAAAATTTCAGTCGTCAGAGAAGAGTTCAGAAAGCTAAATGAGCTTCGATGTGATTTGATAGTGCACGCAGAGGAAATGGAGAATTCTAAAACACGAAAAGAAATGAAATTCCCATTAGAAGAAACAAAATGTGAGAAAATATTCTGCCATAAGAGGCAATGATATTCAGAACATGAAATAATGTGTAATTTTTTTAAATGATGGAGATAGAAACAAAGGAGATCACTATATGAAATTCTGGTATTATTGAAGATAGGACCAGAAAAATTAAAACAGACAAAACAAAAACACTAAGATACAATAGAAGATTGTCCTGAAATTAAGGAAGAATTTTATCCACAGATTGATACTGGAGAGGGCCAAATGTTCTCGAAGAGGCTGAAATAATGTTCTCATGGAAGAACTGATATAGAACAATTGTTATATAGAGAGATAGACAAAAAGATATCAAACTGAAAGCCCGAACAATACTCAGAAGTGTGATATATTTCTTTAAAGTAAAGAATAAGGCAGGACAGCACATTATTTCCACTGATAGTTAACATTCATCTGTAAGGACTAGTCAGTGTGGTTGAAAGGAGAAAGAAATGAAAATTGGAAAGCCAATGACAAAATCAAGACTTCCCCCCCAAAAATTTTATAGAAAACTCAAGATAATCAACTGAAAACATAAATAGTAAAATAGCTTAATGAGATGGATGTTTAGAAAGATAATATTCCAAGATTAATATTCCCTAGATGCAAATAGCAATTAGTTTGACATTGATGGAAACAAAGGATTAAAGTATCCCATTTATAATAGTAAGAAAGAAGAAAATTTGAAATAAACCCAAGTATAACCATTCTGCACATGATGCCAGACTTCAAAAAGTAAAAAAGTGAATGTGCGCTTGTCAGAACATCTGGTAAATACAGCAGCTGTTCCTACAGTGTTCTTGTGCAGTTACCAAGGGGAGAATAAGTATATAATGAATGTCAGGAAAGTTCTGAAAACTGAAAGTAAACAGAAAAGACTAATGTCACAAGAAAATTCAATTCATTGTATTCCATGAATAATAATGATAACAAGTTTGTGTTAGTATGTAAATAATCAGACCAAACAGAATAGGGTCTGGAGAAAACATTAGCAAAAGTTCAAGAGGACGAAAAGGCAAGCTACACTGGGAAAACTATTTGCAAAAGACATCTAATAAAAGGCTGTTTGTTACATCAAACATACAAAGAACACTTAAAACTCAACAAAAGCAAAAAACTCAATTAAAAAATGATTCAAAGACCTTGATACCTCACCACAAAGTAGATACAGATTCCAAATAAGCATATGAAAAGATGCTCCACATCATATGTCACGAAGGAAAAGCAAATTAAAACAACAATGAGATGCCATCACATACCTACTAAAATCGCCAAACTCCTTGACATTGACACATCACATGTTGGTGTGGATGTGGAATTGCTGGTTGGATGACAGTTTGGCAGTATCTTACAAGCGCAAACCTACCCTTACTACAGGATCCAGCAATCACACTTCTTGGCATTTACCCAGAGGAGCTGAAAACTTATGTTCATACAAAAATCTATACATGCATATTTAGAGCAGCTTTATTCATAATTG